TCAGCTTCCTGAGTTGTTGGGGTTACAGGTGTGCATCCCCCTGTCTTGGTCCCTGTATACCTTTAGGTATTTAATGATTGCCAAGTGTGAAAGCCTTAAGTAGAAAGTATTTAAGTTATAAAAAGCAGGAGTGATAATTACTGCCATGCAAATGAAAACATCACCTATTTTTTTTTTTTTACTGTCTTTAAAAAAAAAAGTTATATCAGGCTGGGGTTGTGGCTCAGTGGTAGAGCACTTGCCTAGCCTGTGTGAAACCCTGTGTTTGATACCCAGCACTGCACAAGAACATAAAAAAGTTGTGTCAGGGCAGGAAGATAAACAAGAGGAAGACTGTAGAAAGACTGCAGTAGGCTGGGGATTTCATGAATGAGACTCATTCATGGAATATTCTTTGTATCCATTGACTTCACTAGACACACTTCCCCCACATAGAGCCCAGAGGCCTCTACAACTGAGCTACATCCCCAGCCCTTTTTATTTTGAGACAAGGCCTCACTGGCTGGCCTCAGACTTGTGATCCTCCTGCCTCAGCCTCCTAGGTCACTGCGATCACAGGTGTGCACCACTGTAACAGTCTGTAGACACAGTTTCTAAATGGCAGGTAGATAGGTCTCATCTGACTTGTTTGGCAGAAAAAGCAAGGTGAGGGCTGGGTTTTGTGGCTTAGTGGCAGAGTACTTGCCCAGCATGTGTGAGACACTGGGTTCGATTCTCAGCACCACATATTAATAAATAAAATTAACGTCCATTGACAACTAAAAAAATATTAAGAAAAAAGAAAGGTGATCCCTAGAGCACCAGGATCCCAGGGAACAGAATACTTAAGTAGAAATTGGGGAAATTATACTTGATTGGGTGGGGGAGGGTAACCAGCTTCCAGTGGTATGGCCAGGGGGCATTAGGCAGACCAACAAGTCTCAACATCATCTTTTCACATTCATAGGTTGTCTCCAAACACCATGGTGACACCCCACAAGAAGAGCATGCTGGGAAATGGGAATTATGATGTGAACGTCATTATGGCGGCTCTTCAGACCAAAGGCTATGAAGCTGTTTGGTGGGACAAGCGCAGGTAATGTGATGGGGAACAGCAGGTTGTGGTGCAGGCCTTGGTCAGGGATTCCTGGCATGAGGGAACTGCCTGGGACCTTAAGGCTGGCTGCCTCAGAGCCTGACACGGTTTCTCTTCTGCAGGGATGTTGGTGTTATTGCTCTCACGAATGTCATGGGGTTCATCATGAATCTGCCCTCCAGCCTGTGCTGGGGTCCACTCAAGTTGCCTCTCAAAAGGCAGCACTGGATCTGTGTTCGAGAAGTAGGCGGGGCCTACTACAACCTCGACTCCAAGCTCAAGATGCCTGAGTGGATTGGAGGCGAGAGCGAGCTCAGGTGAGTCCCAGTGTGGCTCAGCTGCTGGGCTTCTGGTTTGCTGTGTTGAGGGAAGTCAAGCTCATCTTTGGTTATTTGACAGAGGAAATGAAATTCTTATGTGCTCAGAGCCTCTCCCTGCCTTACTTGGAATCATGGGGTCTCAGACTGGAAAGGCCTTAACAAGGAATTTTGTCCCTTTGGTAAGCAGGGTCCACAGCCTGGGGTATTGGCCTTCTGGTCTGGTGGGGCTGGTGAGGTAACGTTCTTTCCACCTGCACCACCGGCACAGTGTTGTTACCAGTTCAGAGAAAGGAAGATACACATTCAGCCAGAGGGTTAAATTGCCCTAAGATGAAAGTAGTTGGTTTTTTTAAACAGAAGCACTTCAGAGTACTTTGAGCTTCTGTTCATCACAGAACCAGTTCCTCTCAGCAGTAACGTGAGGATGAGCAAAGATTCAGATTGGGACTTGAACTGGACAGACTTAGGGGTAACTCTAGAAGAACCTACTAGAACATGTTAGGATTGCCAAGGGCATAAAGGATCAGGTGTCTGGTGACTTGTGGCCCTGAGACTGGAATTTGCAGTTCACCAGCATTTCGTTTTCTCTCACCTCCCCTTCCTTTTTCCCTAGGAAATTTCTAAAACATCATTTGCGAGGAAAGAACTGTGAGCTTCTGCTGGTGGTAGCAGAGGAGGTGGAGGCCCATCAGAGTTGGAGAGCTGACGTGTAGCGCCGCTAGGTCCAACCCATCCCTGCCTCGGTCCTCCAGCCCTCGTGATGCGCTGTGGCCTCTGCAGTGGGTCCGCCCGGCCACCTCCCCAAACATCTCATCGGGTTTCCCCTTCAGACTTGCCAGTGCAATAGGACGGACGTGTGGACTGTTACAAGAACCCCCGGCATTGTCTGTGCCTGGGGAAGGCAGGCGGGAGCTCTGAGGGCTTAGGGCAAGCCACTGAAGGCCTTCGTTTTATTTTGGAGAAGAGAAGGAAAGGTGGGTCCGAGCTTATTTTCCCCTTTCTATGAGGACCTGACACAGGTTTTCTTGGAGTCTTCACTGCTGCTCCAGGCTCACCAGAGAGATGCTGCCTCCACTTTCGTCTCCTGTGGCACCCGTGTCTGAAGACATAGTAGTGCACGCAAAGCCCAGTGACTGACTGAAGAACCCAGAGCATAAGCGTCTCTCAGGAAACCATCTCCAGAACCCCAGCAGCAGTGCTGCGTGCTGTCTGCAGTCCTAATGCCACCCCTCCCCCCACTTTTGAGGGTGGTTTATGGACAGCCTTGGAGTTTTATAATGAAAACTTCTTGAATATCCCAAGCCAGGTGGTTGAGTCCCCCAAGTCTAGCAAGACAGTGGTAAGATAGACATCTAAGAGGATGTGGCTAAGCCAAACTGGGTAAAGCATGGGGTGGCTTTCTTCACTCCAGTTTTGTCCCCACCATTTCACTACATTGATTTAGGAAGCTCTGGGGCAAAACATAAGGAAAAGGGGCAGTTTCCCCAGTTGGCCCACTCTGGCAAAATCAGAAGAAACATCTACCCTTGACAGTTTGGGTCAGCCAAAATCACGTGAAGAGTTTAAGAGCAGCTGGAATTGGTAGCTGGCCTGGGCTTGAGGCCTGTCACTGTAGTGACAAGCAACAGCCCTCAAATTAGGTGGTCATGTGCATTTTGTTATAGGACCTAGGTTTGTCGTCATCTTGTAGTTTCCTTTAAAAATCAGAGGATTGACCTGCCTCCTACCTCTTGAAATAGTTGTAGGCTACTTTTCTCTTGTAACTTTGGAAAACAAGAGGGGAAATAAATAATACCACACGTGTCACCAAAGTGGCTGTGGTTGCCTCAAGACAGGAGGGCAGGCAGGGGTAACCTGGCCAGTTCTTACTGATCACTGGTCTTGGCAGGTCTGAGAGCTGCCCCATTGGCCAGACTTCTCTCCACCAGAAGAGCCAGCCTGGGGCTTGCATGTGAATCCTAAGCAAGTGTAATGGGGAGGCTGAGGCGCTCTCCCCACTGTGACTGGAGTGCATGTTTACACCAGCACTTTTCTGCACACGTATCTTCAATCCAACAAGGCCGTTTTTTAAGCCAAGTAAGAGGCCCCAAGCGGCTACTGCACATTATGCCCTCAACAACTGGCCGTGGTCTCTTCTGCACCATTTTCTACACCAGACCTGCTTGGCACCACAGGGAGCTCTCTACCCCTGCACAATGACATTCCAGCTAACACCAGCCAGAAGTTACAGCCAATCTTGCTGATTAATCGTCACAAGCAGGACCTTGGGTCCATTGGCACTGTTGGTGATTGTAAGCCATTTCCTGGGAAGAGGAGAAAACTTCCCACAAATCTGCTTGGGCCTGTGCAAATGGCACTTCAAAGTAGTCCCATGCACACGGAGTCCATGAGCCAATGGGATATGCAAAGACGCTTCGACTTTTCAGGGCTGGTTTCTCTGTTCATATCCAATTCTGGTGCTTAGGAACAGGGACCCATGCTGATGCCCAAGGGCAAAAAGCCCCACTTTTAAAGAAGGGAGCAGGCCTGACCCTGATGCCCCACAAGGGGCAACCCTAGGCTTTTTCTTGCTTTTATCCCCCCTCCTTTTTTTTTTCTGTTGGCCTTGTGCTGGGTTTGTTTACAAAAGATGTATTTTGTTTAACCAAATATTAAAAATGGTAAACTCCATACACGAATCTCCTTGTCTGCCTAATATAATTATATGAAGGGGGGGAAAAAAAAAAAAAACCAAAACTTTAGTATGATGCAGCTTTAAAAGGAATTCCTTACCATCATCTCTCCATTTAGAGATATAATAGTTTGATCAAACTTCACCAAAAAATACAAAATATTCTCTTAAGTGGGATTTATTTCAAAAGTTACCATTGAAGCATTTTTCAGTTTAATGTTAGGATTGCCAATTTGAAGAACCAATATACAAAACACAGCTTGTACCTCACTGACCAGCTTCTGCACTAGTGAAGCAAAATATGCATCCAAGCCAAGGACATGTCTAGAATGTGTAGCAGGATTCAATAGTCAGGAGGCTGGATTTGAATCCAGATCCAGCACTTATTATGAGGCCTGTGGATATTAATCTTTCCATGGCTGTTTCCTCCTTTGCAAAACAGGAATACTACTACCTCCAAAACTGCCTAGTACTGAGAAAAAGATTCACATCAAAGACTCTGTTTTATGCTCAAAAATTTTTTTGTTAAATGGAAAAACTGCAAAGTTCAAATACGGGGCTACAACTGACTTCATCATCAGTTTCTCCAATCACTAAAGTAGGCACAAAAATGTTCTTTTCCCCAACACTAGAAATCAGTACTTCCTATAAGTTTATAACTGTGAAATGTCTATAACTACAAAAACACTGGCCTGACCCTTTGCTTAGGTTGGTGGAACTGAATTGATTACTTTAATTCAGTGCAAAGTTGTCATTAAGAGGTTCTGGGCAAATAGTGCATTTTCTTTTCAAAATTTAACTAACTTTAGGCCTTGAAATTATCAGTGGAGATGGAGATGCCAGCTTAGATGAGAGGAAATGTGAGGCATTGTATATCTTTGACCTTCAAAAAATGGTACAAGTAACTTTTAAGTACTTATTACAGACACATGGATGACACTTTGAGTTGGAATCATTTTTAATATTTAAATACAAAAAGTGAGCACTGACTTTTTTTTACACACAGGTCTAATAGCCAAAATGTGCAGAGTAAACGAGCCTCTGCTCTGTCCTCCATACTCACTGTCCCCATTTTGTGGCTGAAGCTATAAAACAGCCTCCCTTCAGTATACATGGGGCTTCCTGGTGCTTTACAAGACAGCCACAGTGCACTTTGTCAGTTTTAATATTAATATGTGCATGTTCCTTCCCAACATCTCCTTAAAAAAAAAAAAAAAAAGAAAGAAAAGTCATTAATGGTCAGGAATCCTTCCCTCCCATTGTGGGGCATCATTTCTACCCCATAATGAGATAGACAGTGAGGAGATCTTCCAGTTAGGAGCAATGTACTAGAAGGGGTAAGGTGGCCAGAGCTGGAATAACCGTCTGCATAGCTGCATTCTGGAATCAGAGCGAGGCAGAAGAAACATTGAGGACAGCGTGGAGGGTACAGTTGAAAGTTGGGAGTCTCTGTGAGACAATGAGGGGAGAATTCTTCCCACCAGATTTGGATCAGTGTGCCACAGTTAACCCCTCCCCCCAAATAATCAGCAGTTCAAACATAATTGAGTTTCAAATTTCTCCCATTGAGACAGCTCAAATATAGCAGTAACAATCTAGATCTTTCCAGGAAGTGAAGGCAGAGCCCCTGGCATTCCTCCTGACAGCCCTGTGTTAGGCCCTAGAAGTATCTGAAAAAGAAAAGGAGAGATGTAAGGCATTGTACAGGCCTAGATGTCATTTTCATGGTACCTGATGAGGCAGACAAAAACAATGCTGAGCACAGGCATCTAAAAGGGCCTGGGCCTAATCCCAATCCCCACCCACACAGTAACTGCCAATCTGCTGGTGCTGGAGAAATAAATAACTAGTGTCTCCCCCCTGGCAAAAAGTCAAGAGTTTGGGTTCACCTGCCGCTGTTGCAGTTGCTGCTGTTGCTCCATTTGTAATTTCTCAGTCTCAAAGACAACAGGAAGAACCAGTATCATAAAGGAAGTGGTCCCAATCCACAAGGCTGCCCTGGAAAACCTGCAGAGGGTGGGCAAGCAGAGAGAGATGCAAATAGGCAATAGATTAAGAACAAAGCAGTAACCAAACCTCTTTCATTACATACTCCAGTGCTTTTAATGTGTATTCTACCCACTCCTTGCATCATACTCCTCCTACCAGGGGCAGGAGGAGATTTTTCTGGGAGTTAGCTATAGCTGCTTAACAATCTTCTGAGTTCTTATAAAGCTACTTATACATCAATCATCTCAGATAAACTAACAACCTTGTCAAGTAAGAACCCCGCCTTTACAGAAGAGAAAATTAGAACTCAGAAAGGTTAGGGTAAAAGCAGTCCAAGGTCACTGGAACCCAGGTCTGCTGCTTCCGAAGTCGGTATCTCTTTTCTCATAGGTTCAGACATCCCATGCACACCCCCCAATGTCTTTGCCCTCTTGTCCCTTACCTGTACATTTTTTGAGCCACGAAGAGGGAGAGATCAAAAGTGGCTCCGGCCGCGGACCGGACCCTCTCCGGGAACATCTCCGTCAGACCCCAGAGTCTCTCAGACAGGGTCTCATCTAGCTGTGGTGAAGGAGGTGCGGGTATTGGCCGAAGTAAGGGCATGCACCTGCGGCCCGCTGCGACGTGGTAAGACGCGGAGGCCGGCAGAGCTGGAGCATTCCCGGCCCAGCAGGGCCCCTAACCCCGCCTCCCGAGAAGCCGCCTTCGCGGGGATCCCGCAGCACGCGGATCCCACACCCCGGGGCGGGCCCGCTCCTTGCCCCGCACCCCGCAGGGCCCTAGTACCTCGTCGTCATCGTCCTCTTCCAACTCTTCCTCAGTTTTCTCCGCGTCGCCTTTCGGGAGCAATTCATCGGGGGACAGCGGCTCCCCAGCGCCGGCAGCAGCAGCGGCGGCGGCAGCCATGGTGTAGGGGACACCGGAAGCGGAAGGGAGCAGTCGAGCTGGGCCCCGGGATGGACAGAGCGGCCCTTCCGGGAACGAGCAGCGTGGGGTCGGGAGAGAGCGGCACGGTCTGGCTGGTAGTTTTTCTGACTCGGCTCCGGGTGCTGCTGCGGCGGCGTTCCCAAAGCGTCTCTTGCCTTATCCTGGGGGTTCTGACTTCAGAGGGCCGAAAAAAACGCTCGGAAACTTTAGAAAAGCAGCTCCAGGTACTTCCGCAGTAATTTTGCGCAGTGATTGGGAGTGGACCCAGAAACCTGCGAGTGGACCCAGTTTAGCAAGCCTCCCTAGGATCACACTTCGAGAAACACCAGCCCGGTTTCATTTTCCTTGGGGGTATGCTTTTTTTGATAGGAATAAGCGACTTGGAGGTTTGTTGGTCTTTGAGGAAACCATCAATTAAACCGTTTCAAGGTACCAAACAAAGGTAAGAGGGAAGGTAGAGGCGCCAGGTTCTGCGCGCGCATGCGTGCTCCTTCGCCACCATTGAGTTAGGCGCTGTAATCTCAGTTTTTAAAACGGAGGAACTCGGGGTTGGGGCAGTGTTAGCATACTTATTAGAGTGCATCTGTAGCATAGATGAGGCCCTGGACTCAACCTCCAACACTGCAAAGAAAATTTAAAAAAAAGAAGGCGGGAGAAGATGCAGATTGCAGTAGTGGGGTGCTGCAAAGATTTCTAGAGGATGGGTTTCTAGAATTGGGCTTGCTGGCCAGAGCGTATATATATTGAAGTTTTGCTAAGTATTAGTAACTACCCTCCAAAGAACTATATCCTATACATTCAAAACAGTAACAGGAGAGGCTGGTGGGGCTCAAGCCTGTAATCCCAGAGGCTCCAGCTCAGCGGCTGAGGCAGGAGGTAAGAAAGTTCAAAGCCAGCCTTAGCATTTAGCTAGGCTCTAAGCAGTTTAGCGAGACCTGTCTCAAAAAAACAAAACAAAACAAAAAATTAAAAAGGGCTGGGGATGTGGATCAGTGGTTAAGCACCCCTGGATTCAATCCCCGGTACAAAACCAAAAAGTAAACGGAAGTGTCCTATTTCCCACACCCTCCCTAGCATTAAATATTATCCATGTTTTCTTTTTGTGTTGTGGGGGGCGTGGGGGGGTGTGGATACTAGGGATGGAACCCAGAGGCCCTTTACCACTGAACTACAGGGTCTAACTAAGTTGCTTAGAGCCTGACTTAGTTGCTGAAACTGGCCTTGAATTTATTGTCCTGCCTCAGCTTCCTAAGCAGCAGGGATTACAGGCATACCATATTTTAATTTTTTGCCTCTACCATAAAGGTAAATGCTTCTTTTTATAATGTGCCCCCACAAATTATTAATACAAGGATTATTTATATATATTTAGCCAACTGACCTAAATCACAGACTCTGAAGTTTGAGTAGCCCAGATCCTTATCTGATCCATGAAAACGTAGTAATGAGTCTTTGTTGTATGCTTACATACTTTGGTGGGGCTTGGAGGCTGGCAATACCTCCTGATACAGTCCTCAGGCTTTTCATCCTTGGAAGGGTATTTCTGAGTAAGGTTTTTCTTTTCTTTTTTGGTACCAGGATTGAACCCAGAGGGGCTTAACCATCGAGCCACATTCCCAGCCCTTTATATTTTGTTTAGCAACAGGGTCTCTCTAAGTTGCTTAGGGCCTTGCTAAAATGCTGAGTCTGTCTTTGAACTTGTGATCCTCCTGCCTCGGGAAACACCTAAGCCACTAGGATTACAGATATGTGCTGACTATAAGGTATTCGTGTCACACCTATGAGAAGTCAGAATATTGATTCCTGTTGAGAGGATAATATTTGGGAAAGGCAGGAGTGTAGCTTCTGGCAGTTGGGAAGTTTCCGTTTCTTGAACTGGGTGATTGGTACATTGGTATGTTCATTTTGGGTAATTCATTAAGCTGTACACTTAAGAATTATGCTCTAGTATGTGTGTTAAATTTTTTTTTAAAGTAGGCTAGCTATATAATTTTGAGGGCAGCTTAATAGCTCGGTGCCCGTGGTTTTTTAACTCTTTTAAGGGTTCTTTTAAGAAATGCTAGCGCTAGGAGTAGCTCAGCATGCATGAGGCTGTGGGTTTGATCCCCAGTATTTCAAGAAAAAAAAAAAGAGAAAATGCTAGATCAACACTGTTAAAGGTAAAGCAGGCAGTCTTGTGTGAAAGGCACAGAACATGGATGATTTCAATTACAAAGTCATTCACAAAGCTAATGTGAAGAAGTTTCAGGAAAACCAGTTAATTTTGTTGATATTTACAAAAAGCAGTACATGGTTTTTTAAAATATTTGTTTTTTAGTTGTAAGTGGACACAATAAACTTTATTTTATTTTTATGTGGTGCTGAGGATCCAACCAGTGCCTCACGTGTGCTAGGCTAGCGCTCTACTGCTGAGCCAAAACCCCAGCCCACAATACATGATTTTTTTTAGGTGGTACCAGAGATTGGACCTAGCTGTGCTCTACCACTGAATTACATTCTCTATCTCTTTTTATTTTGAGACAAGAGTCTTTCCAAATAAGTAGTTTTAAGTCCAAAAGAGCTCTTTCAGTTATAAAATTGCCAAGGGTTAAGAAGACATTGGGAATCATGCAGCTCAGTGCTTAGCCCTCTGGGCGGAAATGAGATGATGCATGAAATGAGAGAAAGCAGAATAATACAGAGGACAGAGCGCTGTGGAAGAAATAATGAAAGGCTGGCATGGGGAGGACACGGGGAATGTGACATTGCTGAAGATTCCCAGGAGAAATGCTCAGCAGCAGATGCCACATTTGGTGAGACTGTTGCCAGTTAGAGGTCACGTCAATGGACAAAGGAACAGTAAGGGTGCTTGCAAGCAATGGGTGATGCCCCATGCTGGAGCCAAGGGAATGCAGCCATGGTGGGGTGTCCTAGAACCCTGGGTTCCCTGGCTCTTCTATCCCCCAACCCTCAAGCCCATGGTTTACACCTTTCCTGTTTCTGTCCTGCTGAAATTTGAAACTGGTGATATGATAGTTCTTAGTAAGGGTAAGGGGTGGGTTTACAGTCCTTTTGAAAAATTTTTATTATTTTTTGGGGGGTACTGGGGATTGAGCTCAGGGGCACTGGACCACTGAGCCACATCCCCAGCCCTATTTTGTATTTTATTTAGAGACAGGGTCTCACTGAGTTGCTTAGTGCCTCAGTTTTTGTTGAGGCTGGCTTTGAACTTGTGATCCTCCAGCCTCAGTCTCCCCAGCCACTGGAATTATAGGTGTGTGCCATGGTGCCAGGCCCTTTTGAAAATTTTATAAAAGTTGTATGCCCCTCTCATAAATATGCATGTTAGGCCTGGGATGTACCTCAATGGTCGTGTGCTTGTCTAGCATGCATGAAGCCCTGGGTTCAATCCCCAGTATCAAAAAAAAGAAAAAGCACATTAGCTTGTATCTCCATAATCATGCATATGGACTGTCTTCTAGGACTCACACTGTAAGATTTCCTCTAATTATTGCCTCTAATACTGCACTCACTGCTCATGACCACAGAACTTTCTATTTGAGCTCTTCAATGACAGTCCTTCCCTAATTCAGTTCACACAAAAATTCACAAAATTGTTACAGTAATTAAAGTGGCAGTGTCAAGGAGCTAGCACTGTTTTACTTGGGTTCCCCATAACTGCTAGATTTGGTTAAGAAAGGCTCTAAAGGGGAAGAATTTTTAGCCAGAACCTGAAGGACTTGACTAAAAAGGTAAGATCTTGGAAAAATATACTATCTCAAAAGGGGAAAAAAAAATTCCTGAAGGAAACAGTTCTGGGTGATGAGATGTGGGTGGTTTTTTTATTTTAACAGGATCATCCTTGACATCACACTCTAACTCCCATCAGCAAACACTTGGCTTCACTGCAGGTCCTATCTAGAATCTGACTGTGTCACCTCCTCTATGGCCACCTTGCTGGTCCCAACCTGGCCCCCCTCAGCATGCTCTTAGCACACAACAGCCAGAGAGATACCAGTTGGATCATAGCATTCCTCACTCAACCTAAGGCCTTCAATGCCCCACATACCACAGGGAGTTCTGAAGTCCCTGGATTAGCTCCTAAGGTGCTGCAGGTGATGCTGCTAGAAGGACCCACAGCACCATGATGACCAAGTAGGCCCCAGGATTCCATAACTTTCAGTTCTGCTCCATCCCTTCTAGCTGTGTCACTTTGCTAGGCTGGTTTCTTTATCTAAAAAATAAGGAGATGTGCTGGGCAGTGATATTAGCAAAACCATATTGTTTTATTGTGTGCAGGTCCAAATATGTAAAAACAAGTCCTGTAATGCACCATTAAAAAATGCAAAAAAAAAAAAAAACTGATAAATTTGAATAATGAATGGTTAAAAGAATGAGAAAAAGATGTCTGTGATGGAGGGTGCCCATTGAAAGGCTGCCCAAGATCCAGGACTGGACCCACACAATCTCAATTCCTCCTATAATCTATACTTGAAAACATACACCCTGTGTGTGTGTGGATCCATCTCTAATAAACTCTCTCTCCTGTATCAGGAAGTGAGGTTAGGCTAGAGCTAGAAACCATCCTCTTCTGTCCACCCACCGCACTCTGCTGGCTAGAGCGTGCCAGCAGTCCTTGCTTCACAGGCTGAGGGGAGATGAGACAGTGTGCTGAACCCAGGGCCAGGAGTGTGACGGTCCAGATCTGCCGACCTCAGCCCCAGGTGTAAGCCCCTGCTCTGCACCCCCCCTGTTGCCGACTGCTTCACTTCAGGAGCTGATTCCCCTCCACAAGTCCAGCTCAGGCAGACACACTAATTCTTGTGTTAACCACCAGTCCCTGCCTTGTCCCAGCCAGTCCCATTTCTCCAAGGCAAAATGGCCAAGAGGGCAGTTTGAGCAGAGAAGAGACCATTTCTCCAGGTTAGCCTCCACCAGGGCCTAGGAAAACTGGAACGCTGCCATTTCCCCACGCCCTGAAAATTTCGTCTTTCAGTGGAACAAGATTAGACTCCAGGCTCATGTACTTCTTGCGGAACAGAGGCTGCTTTTTTCAGTCATTTTGGCCACAGAGACATTATTTAACACTATTTAATAAAAAGAAGTAGTGTAGACAGGAAGATAGCACAAAAATAGTGTTGCCATGAGGACTAGCTCTTGATGCTGGGAAGCTGAAGCCAGAGGAGACCATGGGTTGGGGAATGAGCGTTCTTTGAAGGCAGGTGGCCTGCAGGCCAGAGAACCAAGTGAGCTGCTCATCCCAGGCCCCTGGATATCGGGTTGAAACTGGTGAGTATAAGGGGATGAGATGTTGAAATCCAGCTGCTGCTCCCCAAAGTGTCTGTCCAACAGAATGACTGGGATGCAGGTAGCTGTACGCTCACGTGTGGAGGGCACCCAAAGGCTTGTCCTGCCCTCAGAGCTCCCCGGGTCTGCTTGTGGTGTGGCATCCCTAGGCAGTGTGCCTGGTGGGCCTTCCCAGCATCTGCCCTGGCCTGGCATCTTGGCTTCCTCCATGCACCACCTTCCTTCTGCCAGCCCAGGAGTGCCAGTGCCTGCTCATGCTCTCATCCAGGACCAAACCCATTGGTTTGGCTAAAAAAACAAACTACTCAGCCACACCCTCTCCCCTGGTCAGTGGGATTCTCCCCGGTCTCCTGACACATGTCTCTGGGTCTTCATTTCCTCCTTCGGCTGATGCTCTTCAATTCATCCAATTCTTTCTCCATTAAGTGGGATTCAGCAGTGGTCTCAGAGAGCTGGAAGTCAAGCAGCAGCAGTTACAAACAAGTTTCTGGACCATATTTGGGGTCTGAAAGGCCACTCTGCACTGAGGAAGGGCTTCCTGGCATTCCTCTAACACTGCTGGCCTCTGTGGTGGGAAGCCCTTGGCAACTGGGCAGATATAATCCCAATGACCCAGGACCCACAAGAAGAATATTCACAGTCCACTTTTTTTGGGTAGTGGTGGGTACAGGGGATTGAACTCAGGGCACTCAACCACTGAGCCACATCCCCAGCCCTAGTTTGTAATTTTTTTTTTTAGGTGTTGATGGATCTTTATTCATTTATTCATATGTGGTACTGAGAATTGAACCTAGTGCCTCACATATGCTAGGCAGGTGCTCTACCACTGAGCCAAACCCTGCCCCCTACTTTGTATTTGAAACAGGGTTGCATTGAGTTGCTTAGCACCTCATTTTTGCTGAGGCTGGCTTTGAACATGCCATCCTCCTGCCTCAGCCTCCCCAGCTGCTAGGATTATGGGCATGTGCCACCAAATCTAGTAGTCAGTGGGTTTTAATAGTCACAGGAAACCAATGCTAATGCAATGTGTGTCCCTCAGCAGGTCTGTTTTGGGTGCTGGTTAATGCCTACTTAGTATAGGACACCCTCCAAGCCGTGGGCAGACTGGTCTCTCTTCCTGGCATGCCCTCATCCCAACCTGCATTCCTACCATCACCCTTCAGCATTAAGCTCAAATATCCCTTCCTCCATGGAGCTCTCCTGACTTGACAGAATACTTCCTCTCATGTGCTGACAACATCAGACACACAAGACTATGTCACCCATACCACAAAGCAGTGTAATTGTGTGTACTGTCTATCCCTGTTAGACCTTGAAGGTAGGACCGTGTCTCATTTGTGTGTTTAGATGCAAGCAATGTACCTGGGCTCACAGGCACGATGAGATAGACTGGATGCATCGATGAGGGTGGGGCCTCCCTGATGGGAAAACCTAGGCATCCCTTCCCGGTCACCTTCCTCACCATGTCCAGGAGGATGTCCACTTTCAGCCGCAAGAGATTGTTCTCTTCCTCCAACTGCTGGTTCCGCCTGCGGAGGCGCTGAGCCTCCCTCCGGTCCACACCCGCACTGATCCCTGTCTCTGGCAGAAGGACAGAACCCGCAGTTAAAAGGGAGGTTTCCTTCTACAATCTTGTTTGAAAAAAATGTCAGGAAACACAGCCCACCTGTTATCCAATGGCCATTTTCAAACTTCAGGCTTTGCCCCGTCAGGTTCATAGTGGGGGTTCCATAGTCGAGGCCCAGCTCCACCTCCCGGGTTGAACGATCCAACTGTGGGTGAGAGACCACACATGGGCTTCAGGAAGCCGTAAATCAGCACCCTCATCCCAGTTCTTCCACTAATTCCAGACTAACAATCTGTTTCTATCCTCTAATCATTACCTGCCACCTTTAATAATTTTTAAAGGCCCAAAAATCAAATGATGTATAACAAAAAATTTAACTATAAAAGAGAAATGTCCTGCTTTAAACGGGACATTTCCCCAAAAAGCTACATATGCTGAAATTTGTAAATTAAATTATTTTACACTTAACAGCTTAAGGAATATACTCTTTTTTTCTCCTGCAGGGCTGCAGGTTGACCTCATGGTCTTGCATATATCAGGGAAGCACTCTACCACTGAGCTATGTCCGCAGCTACAGAAATGAATTCCACTGTAAATTTTTTTTTAATATTTATTTTTTAGTTCTCGACGGACACAACATCTTTGTTTTTTTGTATGTGGTGCTGAGGATCGAACCCGGGCCCCACAGCATGCCAGGCGAGCGCGCTACCGCTTGAGCCACATCCCCAGCCCCACTGTAAATTTTTAATAAAATATTTTCAAAATGTATTATAAATTATCATTTGCTTAATATGGAGCTACATACATCACAGAAAAAGCATAAAATTATAAAACTCAATTAATATTAGCAGAAGCCATGTAAGCAGGCTGCTGCTTTTACCATGTGGCCAGGATGTGGGATGTCCCAGGTGCACTGCATCTTTGACAAAGGATTGGGAAGCTCATGGCTTGTAGGCATCAGGAACAGATCCCAGAATGCCTAGCCCTGGTCACAGCGGGGCTCCCCTAGTCTGATTTTAATTGGGGCAAGGAGGCAATGGATTCAAAGACCCAAAAGCTGGGCGAAGCCTCAGCCTTAACAGCCTTGCTGCCCTACCATACTAGCCTGGGAAGGACTGGCTACCCTGCACGATCAGTTCTGTAGGAAAAAGTCAGAGAAACTAGAATACATCATTCCTGGTGTGTTATATCAGCTATGGCAGACAGAATTTTGATGGGGATGAACCCAGTACCTGGTTGTGGATACCAGAAGACTTCAGGAGAGATGACAATGACTGTATGCGTGGGATCTATGTGTATTTATGTGCTGAAGACAGAATAGAGACAGTTGAGAATGGAAGTAGATTTCCACGTGTTCTGACTTCCTGTTATATAATTCTTTTTAAACTCAGCTTATACGTTCAAATGGGTAGTATGTTACTTCAGAAAGGTATCATTTATTCCAATGACACTGTTATTGACATATTTACAGATATTTTAGAAAATCTCATTTTGACCATCACTAAGGAAATCATCATCCTTGAGATTAAATATGATGATTTCCTTGAGATTAAATTTGATTCTTAAACATGACTGATTCTAGCTGAGCCTTGGGAATAAAGTAGGAGCCAAATTGAATAGTATTGTTTGAAGCATGTCATAATGCGATTGTCTTCTCTAGAGTTGGTTCTATTTTTTTTTTTTTTTAACCAAGGGCACTTAACCACTGAGTCACATCCCCAGCCCTTTTTTTTGTATTTTATTTAGAGACAGGGTCTCACTGAGTTGCTTAGAGCCTTGCTAAGTTGCTGAGGCTGGCTGTGAACTTGCAATCCTCCTGCCTCAGTCTCCCAAGCTGCTGGGTCTACAGGCATGCACCACCATACCTAGCTCTTTTTAGGTTCTTGAATAAACTATGACAATAATTCCCAAGTAGGAGTTCAAAAATGGTTTTGGCAATAGCAATAATATGAATCAAAAGGATGCCTTCCAATGATGATGCCTCCTCTGGAGGTCCATACTCTCCACTTGGAGACCACACTGGGCACTCCAGTTACACTGCACACCAGGCTGACCCCAGACCCCACACTCACGGAACGTAGGTTGGAGAGGGAAGCAGATTTCCGAGGAGGTGTCTTCTTTGGACTGAATATATTCCCAAAGAGAGGCATCTCTGGCCTGATAAAGGAAAGGCCTACTCTCCCTTCTCCTAGGGTCAGAAAAAAGTCAAGATAGTTGGATCAGTGATTTTGCGCCACTGCTCTCATATATCATAAAAACATATTTTCTCCACAGCTACTAACAGCCTGGTAACAGTTCCCATGTATTGAATGTTCTCTATGTGCCACGCAGTATGCTAAGATCTCTGCAAGAAATATTTAACTTACAACCTCCATTTGACAAGCTGCTTATCTGCCCCAATTGACAGCTGACATTTAGAAAGCTAAGGTTTGAGTGGGAGTGAGTGGTGTAAGTGGCTCTACAGTTACATTAACCACAGGCAGGTCCATCACAAGTTGACATCATCAACTATTATGGCTTGGATGGGAGGTGTTCCCCCAAAGCTCATGGGTGAGACAATGCAAGAAGGTTCAGAGAAATGATTGGGTTGTGAGAACCTTGACTCAGTCAATGGATTAATCACCTGATGAGATTAACTCTGTGGTAACTGAAAACGGGTGGGGTATGGCTGGAGGAGGTGGGGCACTGGCATCATGGCTTTGGGGTATATATCTGTATCTGGCAAGTGGAGAGCACGCTCTATGCTTCCTGATATTTGTGTGAGCCCTGTTCCTCTGCCACACTCTTCTGCCATGATGTTCGGCTTCACCTTGAGCCCCAAGGAATGAAGCTACTATCTATGGATGGAGACCACTAAAACTGTTGGCCCCCAAATAAATTGTTATTCCTCTACAATTGTTCTAGTCGGGTCCTTTACTCACCACAGTGAAAAAGCTGACTAAAACACCAACTTCACAGTTAAGAGCAAAGAATGTCATCTCTGCTGTTCAGGTCACTGTTAAGAACTGCGTTGGGAATAAAAATATGCTCCATTTTGAAGAAACAAGGTTATACTTATATTTCACCCCCAGGATGATAAGAGAGCCACTTGGTCCACATGGCAAAAGGTCCATGTGCCCTATATAAGGTGAGGACGAAGGAAAGAGGAAAACATAACAGGCAGAGCTGACGTTGCCACCCACCATACATCAGCTTTCAGAAGCCTTTGACCTACCTAGAACAATTCACACAGGCCCAGTGAAGTAGATTTACTGTCACCCAAGTTTGGGGGAGGAAGAAAGCAGAGGTAAATTTTTTATTTAAGTATAACATATAGACAGGTCTAAAATCATAGTTTAAAGTTTCATGAGTTTTTACTACACACACATGACCATCTTGCAGATCAGGGTACACAGCTTTCAGCACCCAGGACACATCCATCAACTTCATATCCACAAATTGCTATAGAAAGTTTCCTTTTGCACCTGGCTTTTTTTTTTTGGGGGGGGAGGTATCTTTTTTCTTTTTTGTACCAAGGACTGAACCCAAGGGCGCTTAACCACCAGAACACATTCCCAGCCCTTTTTATATTTTATTTTGAGACATGGTCTCATTAGGTTGCTTACACTCTTACTAAGTTGCTGCAATCCTCCTGCCCCAGCCTCCTGAGCTGCTGAGACAGGGGTGTCCCACCATGCCCAGCAGCACCTGGCTTCTTACACTCAACATCATGTTTATGAGATTTATCCACATTGTTGTACATGTTAGTTTGTTCACTTGCATGGGTGTATATATTCTACTGCAAGAGCATATCAAAAGTTATTTGCCCATTTTATAGATGGTGGACATTTCCCATTTTGGCTATCAAAAATAGTGCTGCTAAGAACACACTTGGGGAGCTGGGGTTGTGACTCTGTGGTAGGGCACTTCCATGTGTGAGGCACTGGGGTCGATCCTCAGTACCACATAAAAATAAATAAAGGTACTGTGTCCATCTACAACTAAGAAAAATATTTTTTAAAAAAAGAACTCACTTGGACATGTACCTCCATACACCTATGAACACTTTTCTGTTTCTTTACTTCAGGGTAATATTGTTGAATATAGATATTGGGGGTTGAACCCAGAGCCCTGTGCACTGAGCTACATCCACAGTCTTTTATTTATTTATTTATTTATTTTTTGGTGGTACTGGGGATTGAACCCAGGGCCTCATGAATCCTAGGCCAGCACTCTACCACTGAGCTATAACCCCAGCCCCACCCCCAATCCTTTTTAAATTCTATTTTGAGACAGGGTCTCACTAAGTTTCCTGGTCTTGAACTTGTGATCTTCTGCCTCAGCCTCCTAAGTAGATGGAATTACAGATGTATGCCATCACATCCTGCTATATCTGTAGGGTTTTGTTTGTGGGGGTTTTGTTGTTTTTCAGTGCTGGGGATCAAACTCAGGGTCTCATGCATGCTAGGCAAGTGCATGCACATGACTGAGCAGCAACCCTAGTCATATATCTTTAGTTTTAATAGGTACCGCCAAATAGTTTTCCAAAGTTTCTGTACCAATCTACACTCCTAACTGCAGTGTTATGAAGGACCCTTATGAACATTTTCTGTCTTTCATTTTAACCATTTTGCTAAGTATGGAGGGATGCTGCATTGTTTAATTTGTTTTTCCACAATAATTAAGTTGAGTATCTTTTTTGGACATATGGATACACTCTCTTGTGATATGCCTGTTGGAATCTTCTGCAATCTTTCTATTGGGTTGTCTGTCATCTTCTTGTTGAGTTACAAAGGTGCTTTATATATGCTAGATACTGGTCCTTTGTTATATATCTGTATAGTACTGAAAATATCTTTTCTCAATTTGTGACTTGCCTTTTTGCTTTCTTATTGATTTCTTTTGATTAAAAATGTTCTTAATTTTAATTATTATTCAATGATAATAAATTTTTTATTCAGTTTAAGAAATTTTTGTTATCCTAAGGTCAAGATAAACTTTATGTCTTGGGCTGGGATTGTGGCTCAGTGGCTGAACACTTGCCTCACACATGTGACGCACTGGGTTTGATCCTCAGCACCACAAAAAAAAAATAAGTAAACAAAATAAAGATATTGTGTCCATACATAACTAAAAAAAATTTTTAAAAACTCTGTCTTGCTTTTTCTTTTTTGTTATTTTTTTATGATAATTAAAAAAATTTTTTTTTAATTTTAATATCTATCTCTTTTTTTAGTTTTCGGTGGACACAACATCTTTGTTTGTATGTGGTGCTGAGGATTGAACCTGGCCGCACACATGCCAGGTGAGCGCGCTACCGCTTGAGCCACATACCCAGCCCTTTTATGATAATTTTTAAACTTCTAAGATTTTATTCTTTTACTTTTTATATTTGGAATTATAGTTCATTAAATGGGAATTAATGGTCTATGCCCACTGGAGACATTTAAAGAAGGAAAAGCAAGCCAGGTTGTTCTTGCCAAACCCCTCAATTAAGCTAAGGACACTACATCTGAGTGCAAGAGAACCAGCTACAGGCCTAACTGTGCTCCTCAATTGATTGGTAAACCACAACATGTTGCTTAATTTCTCAGGTTTTAACTAAGGCACCTACCTCATTCATTCTCAAAGCCTTTAACCTATTATCTGTCAACCATACAGTCATGCACAACATAACAATGTTTCAGTCAACAATGCACCACATATACAAGATTGGTCCTGTAATACAATGGAAATGAAAAATCCCTACGACTTAATGACATCATGGCCAGTCGTATAACAGTACAGCACATACATTTACGTATGGCATATAATAATAAACAACTACTGGTTTGTGTATTTGCTATAATTTTATCATTAGAGTACAGTGCTTCTATTTATAAAATATAGTGTAAAACAGCATGCCATGTTATGCCAATAGTAGCCTCAGACATTTCATTTCCCTGTCTCTTGACTGTATCATTTTCTCTTCTGCTTGATTTAATGCCCTGTTTTGTTCATTATGGCCCTAGGAGTAATAGGTTGTAATGTAAAGATGCCATCTATATGCTAGGTATATAATACAATACCTAGCACATAGCCTAGGTGTATGCTAGGCTATACCACACAGGTTCATGAAAGAACACTTTCTCATGTCTGCACAACAATGAACCCCCCCACCACCACCACCAATGACACATTTCTCAGAATGTGTCTCTGTTATTAAGCAACCTGATGACTGTATTGCAGATGAGGGAAAGGAAGGGTCTTTCTTTTAAGTCAGCTCTAATAATCTATAAACAACTATGGAAAGTTTCTGGGATTCTGGGCCAGTGGAGTAGCCCTGGGATATAAGCTGTCCCTTGGCCCAGGGCAGCCTTCCTTCCTTCTAGTGAAACTCCTTGGGGGAGAGGGCACAGCACAAAGGAAGTGAAGAGAGGAGGCTTAGCTTCTAACATCCCCCTGCTGCTAACCCTCAGCGGGGACCCCCGCATTCATCCCCCTTAGGCCTGGCTTCTTTATTTGTAATCAGGAATAATAACAGAATCTAGATCACACACTGTTAAGAGTGTATTATTTGTAAGACATTGTAGCATTTGGTCCTACAATGACCTTGGAATAGGATGAAGTGTGTTCCCATCTATAGATGATAATACTGTTAATCAAAATGCAAAGCTTAGTTTCCAACAGCTCATAAAATCTATTATCTTATTTTAATTCTAATAAGAAGGCAATGGAGAAATTTTCGGCTTTCATCGGCTTCTCAAAGGGAAACGTGTCCCCCAAAGACTTAAAGCCAGGTACTGGTCTCGCAGACACCCGGGCCTCCAG